TTCTGGGGAGAGGGGGTGCAGCGGTGGAGACCCCAAGAGAGAAACGAGGTGTTCAAAACAGGGGGCAGGGTGGCCTAGTGGACTGGGACTCTGGAGACACCGTGGCATCCAGGGACCAAATGTAAGGACTTCCTGCTGGACGGTCTCTGTCCCCCTCCACACTGGGGACGGCTGTTCTGTAGGTTCTCGCCTGTCTCCGGGCATCTCCCACTCACTAGGGTGCTACCAGAGGAGAGGCCTTAGCAAAGGGCTGGCTCCGACACTGATCCACGTAAGGGCCTCAGCCTTCCCCTCCTCCGCTCCCTCCTGCCACCAAGGCTCTGCACCTAGGATGCCCCATCCCTCTCTGTTCGCCCTCTGGGTCCAGCCCTCTGCAAAGGCCGAACTCGCTCCCCCAGCAGCCACTTTCCTTGGAAAGGGAGGACGGAGCCACTGAGGAAATCAGGTTTCTCTCCTGGGGCTTCCTCGGTTGTTTTGCCAGCAGCCTGGCTCCAACCCCCCACCACCCCCAGGGGACCTGGCTTTTCCCCACCTCCCTCCCACCAGAGGCTCAGGTTACAAGAACCCTCTAGCCCAGCCACACTCTAGCTGCTCCTTTGTAGGGGGGGGGAGGCTCCGCTGACGTCCTGAGCGACACCCCCTCGCCCCCCCCGCAGCGCCCCCAGCTCCTAGTGCCTCTATTTCAAACCACGCTGCCTCTTCAAGTTCAAATCGTCCCGAGTCCAGCCATCACACCACAATGGGGCCTTTTGTCCCCAACGAGGCGACAGCAGACCCCGCAGCTCAGTGCCCAGCACACAATGCCACGGGCCCGAGTCCGGCTGCCTCTCTGCGGGCACACCAGAGCCAATCTGCGGGGGAGCAAAGCCCCCCGGGATGCCAGCTTGGGGTAAGCAAGACACACACAGTCCGCCCCGACACAGGACCCCGTGAGGCGTAGCCGGCCAGCAGAGGCAGGGGGCGGCCCTCCCAGCGGGAAACTGGAGCGGCCCCACCTAAGCACAAAAGGGAAAGCAACACACGTCATGGGAGGCATCCGGGAAGCGCTTCAGGCAAGGCCATTTTGGATCAGGTCTGGAACCCGAAGCGCTCGACCGGAAGGGTACCCAGTACAAAGCCTGGTTTCCAGAGCACCCACAACGCCCGTTGACCTCAACCAGAGTCACGAGCAGTCAGCATCTCGACATGGCAGACCCCTTCCTCAGCCCTCTCATAGGATCTAGGTGACCAGCTTCCTTGGGTCGTAAAAGACCAGTCGGGTGCCTAATTGCTACAATTTTAGCAAGAGTGGGCCAAGCACTGAGCAGGCCCCGGGGACACTGGCTCTACACAGGAGAGATGAAGGACAAGCCAAGGATACTTCTTGCTCCTCTTCCCCCGTCTTACAACCCCAACAGGAGGAAGAAACTGGCAGATAGCTAGGCCAAAAACATCGTGGCAGGCATCTGGGGCAGAGACCCTGGAGCAACCCACACACAGCGTGGAAATGGTACAGTGGGGATGTTGACACTGCTCTGGGCATTCGGTGAGCGTGCAAAAGGAGTGGGTGTGCATGCACGTGTGCAAGGGGAGCAAGCCACACCCCGAGGACACATGAGGGAAGGAGTAGGGAAAACCAGGCAGAACCTGCCCACCATGGGGATTTCAAAGGGCTTCAGAGGAATTTTAGTAAAACTGCTCAATCTTCTGTCCGCTCCTCGGGTCCGTACAACTCCTAGCACCACGGGACCCCAATTTGGGGCCTGTTCTACACCTAAAATCTAGCTCGATATAGCTACATCTCTCGAGGTGTGCAAAATCCACAGCCTTGAGCGACACAGCCCTATCTCCCAGAGTAGACACAGCTAGGTGAAGGGAGAAAGCTGCTGTCACTCGGAGAGGTGGGGGTCCCTGCACTGACGGAAGAACCCCGTTCTGTACAGCTGTGTCTACACTACGGGGTTATGCTGGCACAGCTATGCCAATATAGTCCCCATAGTGCAGATATACCCATAGTTATACCAGGGCAAAAACCGTATAGTCCAGCCCTCGAATACTGCACGGACCAATGGCTTCACATCCCCACTCCAGACGCCGCAGGGCAAGTTTCCTATTCACTGTGGGCTGGGGCATTTTTCAAGCCACAACTGTAGATCTCTTCCAGGCTCTAATTTGGGAGAGACTTTATCACACTGGGGATGAGTATTACGCCCCAGGAGGGCCCCCTTTACATATGCACATTACCATTAGCCAGCTACTACCCTGCCTAAATTAATCCAGCATATGGTCAGCCCTCAGAACTCACTGCTGTTGTGGCCTTATCTGAAGCCAGAGGATGGTGAACCCAGGCAGGTCACCGTACATCAGTGCATCCGCACTTCTACAGTAGGGCTCTGCACTGGTGCACATCATCAGTGTAACTACCCCAGTCAGGGTGAGGCCCGTTGACCAGGTCTCTCTCCACGCAGACCAGGAGAGGTCACTCCCAAGGTCCAGCCCCCGTCCTCCGTGGTAACAGGGAGCCAGCGAACCAGCATGGCAGTTCCACACTGAAATCAAAGGACAACAATGTGCTCTCAGCAAAGCTAAACCAACACCCCCACCCCCACCAACACAACTGATTATACACACCATTGATCAAGGCTCATGGGTCATGTCGGACAGCAGATAATTGCAGGCAGTTGCTCCCAACTGGTGCCACCATCGTTATGGTGCCTAGGAGCACTTGGAGTGAAGAAGCCAGCCATGGCTTTCAATGCATCCTCACTGGGACGCCAGGTTTCACGCCTCGGCATCTTGCTGACTGATAACTACGGTGGCAACTGTGGGAAGAAGCTGCCGACTCCATGAGACCCTCTGCTCCTCCTGAGGTTGGGCAGAGACACTGCAGGCCCACTCCCAATCTCCCACAAACCCACCTGACCCCACCGATTCCCTGGAGAGAGAGAGGAGACTTGGGCCCCAATTGCTTTGGGTCTCCGTATAACCCCAAACTTTCACGGCCTCTGGGTTGGCGGCAGTCCAGATCTGAACTCTGAGAATGATGCCTGCCAAGACCAAAAAGAAGTCCTGGATCCAAACGCTTCCTAACGCTGGATTGCAAGACTCCCCACAATGGGCCAGTAAAGATCATCCTAACAATAAGCCACTCCCTACCATATATTTCCGTGCAGTTTACATTAAGTGCGAGTTTAACACTGCAAAAGGGGCCAGTGACATGACCAGCATGACCAGCTCACGGCTCGGGGCCAGGCAGGCCTGATCGACACAACAGACTTCCACCAGCATCCCCACGTCGGTCAGGGGTGCGATCTCTGATCGACTCAGCGGGCCCCTCATATAGGCACAGTTATCGCCGCAAAGAAGTGCAGTTTTATCGGGCCAGCTTATTTCACTTGAGGGAGCACACAGCGTTGAGGATATAAGCTGCATCCGCACGAAGAGCGCATCCCTGGGGTGGTCTCCAGTACCTGGCCTCCGTCTCCCCAAGAATCCGCAGGTAAGGCCCACTGAACCCACGCTTAAGAACAGTAACCCAGACACTCATTCAGCCCCTGCCCTGTTCGCCCTGTGGCTAGAACCAAGGCTTACTAATAAAGGGCCTCTTATCTTTCCTCTCCCATGCTGCCACCCTGCCCAATTAGAAACAACAAGGTGGGGGGGGAGAGAATTAATCACACTCCCTCCCTGATCTCCTCTGCTCTGTTCAGTGCCAATGCTCCACCCTCCTTGCCTGGCACCAATGCACGTGCAGCAGCCTCCCCAGTGCACCAGGGCGAGACAGAGAAGCAGGAAACCAGGAAGCTTCCGCCCTGTGCTGGGATTTTGCCCCCTCCCCCTTCACTTCCATTTCTGCCTCCTGCCTCTCACCAGCCCCACCCACCACCTTAGGCAGAGAGGCACCAGGCGACCTCGTGCCCAGGGGAGAGCTGCCCTAGGGATTCCTGTGACCTACCCTGTGCCTCCCCGAGAGCCGGCTGCACCCCACAGACTCAGTGCGCAGGAAGCGCCAGCCCCGGGATTCGGGGGCAGGCCAGGCCCCCTGCTCCCGACTACAAGCCACACAGGGCCACTTTCAAAAGTCGAAGGGCTTCGGCCACGTCCAGAGGTCAGCGGGGATGGGCGCTACTCCCGGAAACCAGGGCCATGGAAGAGATCCGTGGGGAGCAGGTCACACAGGGCAGCAGACACCAGGACCTGGTGTGCACACACTTCAGTACCAGGCCCCCACCACGCACACAGAAAGAAAGCTGCACAGTGTTGCATGGCAGAGAAGGAAAGGAAGCGTGTCACAGGCCAGGGCCACGCCTCCCTGACAGCCCAAGCCCCGCCCTTCCCACAGAAGGGTGGGGGGAGGGGCAATAGACTGGGGCCCTGGGCAAGCCCCATGACCCTTTGGGGCTGCAACTCTTGGATTTGAGGCCAATGGAAATTAAGTGGCGTTGTTCCACGCAGCGGGGCGGGGGTTGGACACAACTTCAGACGGCTTAACCCCCCCCCCTCCGCCCCAGCAAAAAGAAGTGACATCACCGTGCCCCCCCCCCCCCGCCCACCAGCCACAGGGAGGCCTCCGGGGTAGGTCACGGGGGCGGGTGCCTGGGAAGCGGGGTCACAGCCCCCGGGGCGAAGGAGGGAGATCGGTGCAGGATAAAGCCACCATCTGATAAAGCGACGGGGGGGGGTCCTACCTATGGGCATGAGGGGGGCATGGGGTACTGGGGAGATGCGAAAGGACTGGAGCGGTGGAGTGGGGTGGCGGGACCCCAGGAGGGAAACGGGGGTGCAGGAAGAGCAAGGGGAGGTGGGTAAAGGCGGGGCCCCTCGTGGGTGGGGGAGGAGGGAGAACACGCGCGCAGGAGCAGGGGGGGAGGAAAGTGGGGCCGGGGGAGGAGCGTGAGAGCGGAGGCGGCGGAGAGCGGCGAAGGCAGGATGGGGGGGGGCCGCGCAAGGAGGGGGCAGAGTCGGGGGCAGGTGGGGTCCCCACGCGGGGAGAAGGGGCAGAGTGGGGGAGGCGGCCTCACCTGTGTGCGTCCTCAGATGCGCCTTCAGGTGGGACGATTTGCCATAAACTTTGCAGCAGCCCTGGAAGTGACAGCGGTGCCGCTTGCCCGGGGAGGAGAGGCTGGGGCTGTGGCCGGGCAGCGGGGCGCGCTGGGGTCCGCCGCCCCCGTCGGACAGGGTGGTGTAGCCGCTCTCCAGGTCCCCCCCTCCGGCCGACGAGGACGAGTTGCTGCTCTCCGAGTGCGCCGAACCGGGGCGCGCCCTGCAGCCGGCCGCCGCCTGGGCTGCGCCCCGGAGCGTGTCCCGCACCTCCCGGTCCTCGCTGCTAGCGGGATCGGGGCTGGGGAGGCTGGAGGCGGCGGCGGGGTGGATCAGAGCCCCGCTGGAGATGGACACCAGGCACTCGGCAGCTAGGTAATCCAGGCAGGACATGGCTCTCCAAGGGGGGCCCCGGCGGGACTGAACAGGGGGGGCCCGGAGCTGCTCCACTCGCCTCGCCCGGCTCCGGGGAGAGATCCGCAGCCTTTGTGTCTCCAGGCGGCCGAGAAAGCGGCGGCTGCTAAGGCTCGGGTGGCCCCTGCTCCGCCTCCGAGCGCACCGAGTGGCTGCGCCGCGCCCTGGCGCACGGAGAGAGACCGGGACACCCTTCCCCGCCCCGCCGGGAGCGCACGCACCGCACCGCCCGCCCCAGGGCGTGGGCTGCAAGGGGGGGGCGGGCCCCGCCCCCAGCCCAGGGCTCCCCCCACTCTCCGCCAGGCTCCGCCTCTTGGCACATCGGCCCACAAGCCGGCGGGAGGAGCGCATGGGGGGTGTAATGGCCCCCGGTGAGGAGAGGGGCCGGCGGCGGCTGCTGGCCCGCCCCCAACTCCGCGCGTCTCAGCACAGGGCGGGCGGCAGCCCCCTCCCCCAGGCACAAGCGGCAGCAGGGTGCGACCCCTTCCCACCAGTGCCATGCTGCTTCTGGCCTCCCAGCCCTCCCTCCCCTAAAGCCGGCACAGCCTGTGGTCTCCTCTCGGACCAGCCAAGCTCCGGGGACCCTGGAGCCTCCCCTCGCCCCCCACGCGTGGACATGGGTCTCCTCTGATCACCATGATGTGGAGTGTGTCTCCAATTCTCCATCCCTGTGGCCTCTGGACTAGGCCCACGGGGCACATGCTGTTCCTCTTTCCCCTTGGCTGCCCAGATCAAAGGGGCCCACGACCTCTCCCCCAGCTCCTGTCACAAATTCACAATCCCCCCCCCCCGGGTTATCCAGGATACCCTGCACACAGTGGGAGATTCCTGCGTTTCCCCCATCCACCCTTGGTCTAGTTATATGTGCCAGGCCAGCTCACCCAGCACCCAGTTCAGCACCTGCTAAGGCCCTGTGTTTGCAGCACCCTCACTGGGCATGGACAGACACAAACGGCCACAGGCAGAGTGGAGAAACAGCCCTGGGGCCCAACTCACCGTTCTGACCAAACCAGGATTGTTCTCCTGCTCCGTGGGGGATGCCCCTGAGCTCTTCAGGGTGTGTTGCCCCTCTGGTGAGGCTCATGCCCAGTCCCCACGTTGGCCTTGTGGCTCCCAGGGTCGAAGTGGGGGAAGCATCAGGGTATCTCCTAAATGCCACCAGCTTATGGCATCAAAATGAAACCACACTCAGGGCAGATCTGTGACTGTGACCCTCCTTTTTCGTGTGCTTTCATCAGTGAAGCAGTTAAAAACATTAAGGTGCAAGGATTCATTACTTGGGCAGCTGAGTAACAGGAACGGGGCACATCACACTCTCAGAGGCCCTGTTTCGGGCTGGTGGGCCGCAGGCTCTCAGACCTCACTGCATTCGTTACTCACACGTTCATGCCTTTCTCTGTGACCCTTATGATTAGGTCCCCCGCTAATGAAAGCTGAGATTCTAACCCTCCTACTCCTGGGCTGAAGCCAACCTCTGCCTTTTGCGGGGCAGGCGGCTGGAGATAGGCAGGATGGTCTGATCGGTCTGGCCATGCCTTCGGAGGACACGATGGCAGCCTCCAAAGAGGGCCACTCACTCAGCCCAATACAAGTCCTGGGTTAAGAGATCCTTCAGACTTCCTTCAGGGTTTGACAGGAGCATTCATGCGCATGGGGTGAAGGAACAGGTCCTATCGCATTCAAGCTGCCTCCTTAAGATTTTTAGTTCCCTTTAGAGACACAGGGCGTGGGGCAGTTATTAAGCCATCCTGGAGAGGGCTGTTCATAACTAACTGCTGGGCCTGGCCCTTTGGTGGCTGCTTGTTAGAGCCGGCGTCCCGATCTCATATCCAGAGGTGGGACCGTCCTGAGGGTGAGAGTCTCAGAGATTCGTTGCCATCTGGAGAGGGACTCTGAGTTGGAATTCCCCTGCTCTGGCCAATAGGATGCAGGCCAAGCTTGCCCCAGCTGGGAGTCATCTTTGGCATCTCATCAGGGTGCTGTATTCAGGAACCGTGGCATCCTGTCCCCTGCTGCTCACCTGTCCTCTTAGCAGTTACTCAGTGTCTCCAATAGCCCATACACACGACCCCTCCATTTTGTGGATCACTGGTTACAACGGAGCCAGACAGAAAACCTAGCAATAGGCATTAGGCAGAGTAGCTAAAGGGCAGCAGAATGCCAGCTATGCTCTGCAGGGATCTGTAGAATGAGGCCCCCAATTCTTATAGGGGCATTTGGGTGCTTCCATAACCCAAGGTTAACAAGGTCACTGCCAAGCTGTTCTCAGCTCATTGCACTTTAGCACCCGCTACTGGTTTAGTGAAGGCAGCCCGTGGGTTCTGGGGTGAGAGAGCAGCGATTCCGAGGCAGATTTGCAGTAAACTGCAGCAGCCAGCATGGAACAGTCTATGCAGGGTGTCTCAGACAGCAGGTGTTTTGCTGCCAAGTGAGATTGTCTGGCATGTGCGTATTAGACAGGGGAGGGGAATAGAACCGAGCACACAAGAACAATAGACCACAAGGTGATAAGGCACTTTCCTCTACTTCCTGTCCTCGCTCCTGGCTGGTAGTGTTGGGGGTTGTTAAATAGCCGCAGTTAAAACCCAGCGTCAGCTGCATTCCAGAAGCAGGTAGGATCCCTACATACTTGCTCAAGAGGTTTGTGCAAACCACAGAGGCCTTGCAAAACTTACCAGGCACTTACTGACCAGATTTGGGGATGCAAGACTCAGAACAATTAACAATTCAGCTCCTGTTTATCCCTGAATATTGGAGATAGGGTTGTCTAGCCCTCCCCAAGTCTAGTTTTCCTGGGTCTTTCTCCACTGTGACCAGCTCAGTGCCTGCACCATGATTATCAGCTTCATGGCTGACCATAGAATTGGAGTCCTGTGGTCATTCCACCACTGCTGCGTGGGAAAAGCAGCAGCAGAAGAGGCAGCATGCTGCCCGTCTGCAGACTCAGGAAGACAGACAGCACTGCACCAGGCCAAATGGCATCTCTGCTAAAGACCTTTAACTTGGCCTCAGACATTTAAAGCTGGTGTAAGTGAGCTTTTACAAACCCCAAGTTCGGACTTTTTTCCACATCTTTGTAATAAACGAAAATAGTTTTTTTAAAAAATGCTCTATATCTCGGCGGGACACCCCCATGTTAACACCCCCATGTTCATCTTTATAAAATGATTGTGTGCTATCCAATGCAAAGTTTGTCATGTTGGGTGTCTTCGGAGGGCTCATAATGCACTGAGCATTGTTATAGTGATTGATTGTTACCATAAAGTTATAGTAAGGTTATAGGTTATAATTTCATGTATATAGTTATGAGGCTGAAAATGTGTCCTCAGGGCTTAAAGCAAGCCCATGCAAAAACTCTCCAAGAGCAGAGAGGCAGTTCACACTTCCTCAGGGCATGGATGGGACAAACCCAGGCCAGCCTCACAGGAACTATGGACACTGGCTTAGGCAACAACAAAAGAATCTGTTAGACCCTCGCGGGAGTCACCCCCTTCCTTTGGGCAGTTTGGGAGTGCGATGAGGTAATGCTCACCTGACTCTGAAGCGGGGGGGCAAAGCCAAGAGGAAAGAAAGGACATGATAAAAGGGAGAGACATTTTGCCATGGTCTGTCTCTTCCACCTCCATCTACAGACACCACCACCAAGCCACTGAAACGCTGATCAAAGGGGAGAGCCTGGCTGAAGAGCCAGCCTGTGGTGAGAAGCGTCTAAGTTTGTAAGGACATTGAAATGTTAAGATCAGCTTAGAATGCGTTTTGCTTTTATTTCATTTGACCAAATCCGACTTGTTATGCTTTGACTTATAATCACTTAAAATTGATCTTTATAGTTAACAAATCTGTTTCTTTATTCTACCTAAAGCCATGCGTTTGATTTGCAGTGTGTCAGAGACTCCCCTTGAGATAACAAGCCTGGTACATATCAATTTCTTTGTTAAATTGATGAATTTATATAAGCTTGCACCGTCCAGTGGGCATAACTGGACACTGCAAGACAGAGGCTCCTCGGGTTGTTTCTAAGACTGGAGATATTGGCTAGTGTCATTCACCTGCAAGTAGCTGGGAGCAGCTGACATGCCAGAGGCCGTCCGTGAACAGCCCCGGAGTGGGGGTTCTCACAGCAGAGCAGGGTCAGGCTGGCTCCCAGAGTCAAGGACTGGAGTGGCCTAGCAGATCACCGGTCCAGACAACTCCAGAGGGGAACGTCACAATCCCCCAGCAGCATTTGCGGCCCAAACAAGCACCTGAAAGTGAAACAGATTTTGCCAATTCTCATTGTCCAAGGCCAGAGAAATGCAACGCCAAATTAGTGACAAGCGAACAGCTAAGTTTAAAGGGCCGCTGTCAACTGAAGAGGCATGACAAACGCCCCCTCTTCTCAGCACTCGAGAACAGCAGCTTCACGCTCACGCTGGCAAGGCCTGGTTCTCCAGAAGCTCAGCTTTCATTTGAATATCTCAAGCAAGGCTGTAGCTGTTACGGCTGTGGAGAAACACTCAGGTCCCGTGGGTGAGGCTAACTGCTGCGGAGATGAGGCTGCACAGAGCCTGGAACACTGGCTCTGAGAGGTGTGAGCTGCCCCCTTCATCTCACTGGGTGGCTGACTCAGATGCCCAGTGATCATTTAAATGTCATCACTGTTACCTGTTGTGTTTCTCACACAAGAAAGAAGCTAGAGGCATCCCGGATCGACACAATTTTCTGTGCGTGACAGCTCATTTTACATCCACCCGCTCCCTAGCACACCAGCTCACAAGCACTGTTCGCACTACCAGAAGGACGGGCCCGAGTCGTAAAGCCGGGATCCAGAACCAAACCCGGGGGTGTTCAGATCTGGGCTTAAGGGATGGGCTGCTACGTTCCAACCCCCCCACCCACCCCCGTCTGGGTTTGGCTCTGAGGCTTTCCCAGGTGTTTTACTTTCTGGGGCAAGGGAACCGGGGACTCAGCCCAGGTATTCTCAACTTGGGGAGCACAATCAGATGTCAGGGGGTCCCGACCACCCTCCCTTGGTTTATAACGCGATCGGAGGGGGCTCTCAGGTCGTTTTCCTGTTGTAACCTGGTACGGGATGGCCCTGGTATGGAAAGGTTGAAAGCCACTGACTCAGCAGTCGTGCCCCAGAAAGCCGGCACGTTTGTTACACGCCTTGTACAAACTCCCCGAGGCAGAGCCCGGCAGTGGCAGCAGCTGGCTGCTCCCCTCCTGCGGGGTGACTAGGGCCAGTAACAGCTGCCATGGAAACAGGTGAAAGTGACAATTTCTGTTCCCTGAGCGGAAGGGTGGGCTGCATTTTAACCTTTCTTCCCAGGGCAGTCACCCATGGCCCCACGGCTGGACCAGGATTGTGTACAGCCTCTCAAGCA